ATGATATTGGCTGTTGGTTTGTCATAAATAGCTTTTATTACTTTGAGATACGTTCCATCGATACCGAGTTTATTGAGGGTTTTTAGCATAAAGGGCTGCTGAATTTTGTCAAATGCCTTCTCTGCGTCAATTGAGATAATCATGTGGTTTTTGTTTTTGGTTCTGTTTATGTGGTGAATTACGTTGATAGACTTGCGTATGTTGAACCAGCCTTGCATCCCCGGGATGAATCCTACTTGATCATGATGAATAAGTTTTTTGATTTGCTGTTGCAATCGGCTTGCCAATATTTTATTGAAGATTTTTGCATCTATGTTCATCATGGATATTGGCCTGAAGTTTTCTTTTCTCGTTGGGTCTCTGCCGGGTTTTGGTATCAGGATGATGTTGGTCTCATAAAATGATTTGGGAAGGATTTCCTCTTTTTGGATTCTTTGAAATAGTTTTAGAAGGAATGGTACCAGCTCCTCCTTGTGTGTCTGGTAGAATTCGGCTGTGAACCCATCTGGACCTGGGCTTTTTTTGTGAGGTAGGCTCTTAATTGCTGCCTCAACTTCAGACCTTGTTATTGGTCTATTCATAGTTTCAGCTTCCTCCTGGTTTAGGCTTGGGAGGACACAGGAGTCCAGGAATTTATCCATTTCTTCCAGGTTTACTAGTTTATGTGCATAGAGTTGTTTGTAATATTCTCTGATGATGGTTTGAATTTCTGTGGAATCTGTGGTGATTTCCCCTTTATCATTTTTTATTGCATCTATTTGGTTGTTCTCTCTTTTCTTTTTAATCAATCTGGCTAGTGGTCTGTCTATTTTGTTGATCTTTTCAAAAAACCAGCTCTTGGATTTATTGATTTTTTGAAGGGTTTTTCGTGTCTCAATCTCCTTCAGCTCAGCTCTGATCTTAGTAATTTCTTGTCTTCTGCTGGGTTTTGAGTTTTGTTGATCTTGCTCCTCTAGCTCTTTCAATTTTGACGATAGGGTGTCAATTTTGGATCTCTCCATTCTCCTCATATGGGCACTTATTGCTATATACTTTCCTCTAGAGACTGCTTTAAATGTGTCCCAGAGGTTCTGGCACGTTGTGTCTTCATTCTCATTGGTTTCGAAGAACTTCTTTATTTCTGCCTTCATTTCGTTGTTTACCCAGTCAACATTCAAGAGCCAGTTGTTCAATTTCCATGAAGCTGTGCGGTTCTGGGTCTGTTTCTGAATTCTGAGTTCTAACTTGATTGCACTATGGTCTGAGAGGCTGTTTGTTATGATTTCAGTTGTTTTGCATTTGTTGAGCAGTGCTTTACTTCCAATTATGTGGTCAATTTTAGAGTAGGTGTGATGTGGTGCTGAGAAGAATGTGTATTCTGTGGATTTGGGGTGGAGAGTTCTGTAAATGTCCACCAGGTTTGCTTGCTCCAGGTCTGAGTTCAAGCCCTGGGTATCCTTGTTGATTTTCTGTCTGGTTGATCTGTCTAGTATTGACAGTGGAGTGTTAAAGTCTCCCACTATTATTGTGTGGGAGTCTAAGTCCTTCTGTAAGTCATTAAGAACTTGCCTTATGTATCTGGGTGCTCCTGTGTTGGGTCCATATATGTTTAGGATCGTTAGCTCTTCTTGTTGTATCGATCCTTTTACCATTATGTAATGGCCTTCTTTGTCTCTTTTGATCTTTGTTGCTTTAAAGTCTATTTTATCAGAGATGAGAATTGCAACTCCTGCTTTTTTTTGCTTTCCATTAGCTTGGTAAATCTTCCTCCATCCCTTTATTTTGAGCCTTTGTGTATCCTTGCATGTGAGATGGGTTTCCTGGATACAGCACACTGATGGGTTTTGGATTTTTATCCAATTTGCCAGTCTGTGTCTTTTGATTGGTGCATTTAGTCCATTTACATTTAGGGTTAATATTGTTATGTGTGAATTTGATACTGCCATTTTGATGCTAAGTGGCTGTTTTGCCTGTTAGTTGTTGTAGATTCTTCATTATGTTGAAGCTCTTTAGCATTCAGTGTGATTTTGGAATGGCTGGTACTGATTGATCCTTTCTATGTGTAGTGCCTCTTTTAGGAGCTCTTGTAAAGCAGGCCTGGTGGTGACAAAATCTCTGAGTACTTGCTTGTTCGCAAAGGATTTTATTTTTCCTTCACTTCTGAAGCTCAGTTTGGCTGGATATGAAATTCTGGGTTGAAAGTTCTTTTCTTTAAGAATGTTGAATATTGGCCCCCACTCTCTTCTGGCTTGTAGTGTTTCTGCCGAGAGATCTGCTGTGAGTCTGATGGGCTTCCCTTTGTGGGTGACCCGACCTTTCTCTCTGGCTGCCCTTAGTATTCTCTCCTTTATTTCAACCCTGTTGAATCTGACGATTATGTGCCTTGGGGTTGCTCTTCTTGCGGAATATCTTTGTGGTGTTCTCTGTATTTCCTGCAATTGAGTGTTGGCTTGTCTTGCTAGGTGGGGGAAATTTTCCTGGATGATGTCCTGAAGAGTATTTTCCAGCTTGGATTCATTCTCTTCGTCCCCTTCTGGTACACCTATCAAACGTAGGTTAGGTCTTTTCACATAGTCCCACATTTCTTGGAGACTTTGTTCATTCCTTTTTGCGCTTTTTTTTCTGATCTTGGTTTCTCGATTTATTTCATTGAGTTGGTCTTCGACTTCAGATATTCTTTCTTCTGCTTGGTCAATTCGGCTATTGAAACTTGCGTTTGCTTCGCGAAGTTCTCGTATTGTGTTTTTCAGCTCCTTTAATTCATTCATATTCCTCTCTAAGGTATCCATTCTTGTTATCATTTCCTCGAATCTTTTTTCAAATCTTTTTTCAAGGTTGTTAGTTTCTTTGCATTGATTTAATACATGATCTTTTAGCTCACAAAAGTTTCTCATTATCCATCTTCTGAAGTCTAATTCCGTCATTTCGTCACAGTCATTCTCCGTCCAGCTTTGTTCCCTTGCTGGTGAGGAGTTTTGGTCCTTTCTAGGAGGCGATGTGTTCTGGTTTCGGGTGTTTTCCTCCTTTTTGCGCTGGTTTCTTCCCATCTTTGTGGATTTGTCCGCTGGTCGTCTGCGTAGTTGCTGACTTTTCGTTTGGGTCTCTGAGTGGACACCCAGAATGTTGATGATGAAGTATTTCTGTTGCTTGGTTTTCCTTCTACCAGTCTAGCCCCTTCACTGTATGACTGTTGAGGTCCGCTCCAGACCCTGCTTGTCTGGGGTGCACCTCTAGTAGCCGTGGCACAGCGAGGGAAGCTACCAGTTTCTTTTTTCTGCTCTCTTTGTCCCAGGATGATGCCTGCCTAATGACAGTCTTTTGGATATAGAGGGGTCAGGGAGCTGCTTGAGGAGACAGTTTGTACTTTATAGGGGTTTAATTGCTGAGCTGTGCACTCTGTTGTTTATTCAGGGCTGTTAGGCTGCTATGTTTGATTCTGCTGCAACACAGCTCATTAAACAACCCTTTTTTTTTTCTCAAATGCTCTGTGTTGAGGGGTTTGGGCTTTATTTTTGGATGTCCGATCAGATGTCCTGCCCAGCTCAAAGGCAGACTAGCCACTGTTTGGCTGCCGAGGCTCCGCCCTGCTGTTGTGTGATTCGCGCTGTTCCTGCCGGCTCTGCTGTGGTCTCCGCCACGCCCTGCGGCGGAGTCTCTTCGTTGTAGCGTGTTGCCTCAGCAACGGCAGGCTGCGTCAGCAGTGGGCGTGTATCTCAGTAGGGACGGGTTGCCTCGGCAACGGCTGGCTGCGTCAGCAGTGGGCGTGTATCTCAGTTGGGGCGGTTTGCCTCGGCAACGGCTGGCTGCGTCAGCAGTGGGCGTGTATATCAGTTGGGGCAGGTTGCCTCCGTAGTGGTGGACGCCCCTCCCCCACAGAGCGTCTCGGACCGTCTGCCCGGGATAGTTTGAAATCGCGGTTTTGTTCGTCCCACTGGGTATCCCAAGCGATCTGTCCCTGCAATCCCCTGGGCTGGGCTACTGTGCAAGTCTCGTTCAGTCTCAAGTCCAGCCCTCTCAAGTCTCAGGTTGCTGGTTCAACAAGGCACCCAGACAAGCGCGCCCTGTGGGGATTGCTGGGTAGGGCCGGCTGCCGCCGCCCCGGCTGCCGGCTTCGCCAGGCAGACCTACTGCCTGGCGTCCCGTGTCTTTTTATACTTGGGAGTTTCCCCGTTCTGTGGGCAACAAAGATCAGTCTGGAAATGCAGCACTGACTCACCGTTTGCGAATTCAACGCGGGCTCCAATCCTGGGTTCGAGAATTTTTTATCTATAGTCATTAGAAATATTGTCTGTAGTTTCCATTTCTCATGGTACCTTTTTCTTGTTTTGAATATGAGAATAATGCTGGTCACATAAAATTAGCTTAAAAGTGTTCTCTTTAGTTATTTTGAAGAATGTGATAATAACTGGCCGTTCCTCTTTTCAAAAATGTTTGGTAAATTTCACCAGAGAAGACATCTGGTTCTGGGATTTAATTTGGGGGAGATTTTTGACTACTGATTCAATCTCTTTACCCATCATATGTCTGTCCAGACTTCGTATTTTTTCATGATTCAGTCTTGGTATGTTCTATGATTCTAGGAATTTATTCATTTCTTCTTGGGTATTCAGTCTCTAGGTATAAAATTGTTCATAATAGTCTCTTACAATTTTTTTTACTTTGGTGGCATCAGTTATAATTTCACAATTTTTATTTTAAAAAATTTGAATCATTTCTCTCTTTTGCTTAATAAGTCTAGCTAAGCATTTGTTGATTTTATCTTTTCCAAAAAACTAACTCTTACGTTCACTGATTTTTCTATTGTTTTTATATTTTTTAGTTTTTTTTTTTAAATTTTTTATTGGATTTTAGGTTTTGGGGTACATGAGCAGAGCATGCAAGACAGTTGCGTAGGTACACACATGGCAGTGTGCTTTTCTTTCCTTGTCCCCTTCACCCACCTTTGGCATTTCTCCCCAGGCTATCCCTCCCCACCTCCCCCTCCCACTGGCCCTCCCCTTTCCCCCCCAATAGACCTCAGTGTTTAGTACTCCCCTTTCTGTGTCCATGTGTTCTCATTTTTCATCACCCACCTATGAGTGAGAATATGCGGTGTTTCATTTTCTGTTCTTGTGTCTTTTCTGTTCTCATATGTATTATTTCCTTCCTTCTTCGAAATTTTATCTTAATTTGTTCTAGATCTTTGAAGTATACAGTTAGGTGGTTTATTTGGAATCTTTCTTCTTTTAATATAGTCACTCATTGTTAGAAATTTCCTTCTTAGTAATGTTTTTCCTACATCCCATCAGCTTTGGTATGTTGTGTTTTTGTTTTCATTTGTCTCAACATATATTATTCTTTATTGTTTTATTTTTAATCAAAAAACAATAATTGTATATATTTAAGGGGTACAAAATTATATTTCAATATATGTGTACACTGTGGAATGATCAAATCAGAATCATTAGCAAACCTATAAAATCAGAGATGAAAAAGAAGATATTACAACTGATACTAAAGAAATACAAAAGATGATAAAAAAAACTGCTATAAACAATTGTATTTCAACAAATTGGAAAACCTAGAATAAATAGATAAATTCCTGGAAATAGAAAACCTAGTAAGGTTGAATTTTAAAAATAGAATATCTAAAGAGAACAATAACAATTAATGAAATTGAATCAGTAATAAAGTCTCCAATCAAAGAAAAGTGCAGGACCTCATGGCTTCACTGATGAATTCTACCAAAAAAATAAGTTTTTGTAACTGTTCACAGACTATAGAAAACAATTGAAAAGAATGGAACACTTCCAAATTCATGCTCTGAGGTGATAATTACCCTAAAACCAAGACCAGACTCAGAAAGAAAGAAAGCTACAGGCCAATATCTATGATGAATGTAAATGCAAAAATATTGAACAAAATCCTAGCAATAAAAATTCAACAGCACATCAAAAAGATCATTCATCACGATCAAGTGGGATTTTTTTCCAGGGATGCAGGAATGGTTTAACATATGCAAATCAATAAATGTGATATATCATATTATCAAAAAAAGGATAAAAACATGATTATTTCAATAGATGCAGAAAAAGCATTCGACGAAATTCAATATTGCTTCATGAAAAAAACCTCAACGAATCAGGAATAGAAGGATTATACCTTCACATAACAAAGGCAACATGTAATAAATCCACAGCCAGCATTTATTGAATGAGAAAGAGTTGAAAGCTCTTCCTCTAAGATCTCCAACAAGATGAGAATGTGCCCACAAGAAGACTTGTCTGGTGTTCCTGTTTAACAAGTATGTTTGCATTGGAATGTGGTAGAGAAAATGCAAGTGGAACAAGTGAGTAAACCAAATGTCATTAGTAAGCTGTGACCAGCACCTTCCAAAAATTCTAATAATTCCCTTTAGCCTTCCACATTCAGGTGTTACAGTTCTGAGAATGTTTTCTTTTTATTAAATAATTGACTTCTAAGAATATCAATTCAAAAGAATATCACCTCATAAACAAATGTATTGCGGCATTTCAAATGTAACTCATTGCATGAGGAAGGTCTGGGATGAGTGAAACACTTTTGTGTATACAGCAATGTTAAAATTCCACTCTTACAGAAATTTTTGCCTTCTCAACACTTTCTTGAATGCATTCTTGACTTCTCTGTTCCTCAGGCTATAAACCACAGGGTTCAACATGGGGATGAGTATAGCATAGAACACGGATGCCATTTTGTCTGCATCCATGGAGTGGCTGGAGCTGGGCTGCAAATACATGAAGATGACTGTCCCATAGAAGATGGAGACTGCAGTGAGGTGAGAAGCACAGGTAGACAGCGCTTTTTGGTGTCCCTTAGCTGAATGCATCTTCAAGATGGTGATGAATATGAACAGGTAGGAGATCAAGATAACTAAAAGAGCAAAAAAGATATTGAAGCTTGACATAAAAACCAGAATCACCTCACTAATGTGTTTATCAGAGCAAGACAGAGCCATGATGGCGGGAACATCACAGAAAAAGTGATGTACCAGATTGGACTTACAGAAAGAGAGACTGACTATGTCCCCAATGTGGAATGAGGCATTTAGGAAGCCACAGACATAAGAGCCTAGGGCCAGACAAGCACATACACTGGCTGTCATGGTGGTGGTGTAGTGTAGGGGTTTGCATACTGCTGCATAGCGGTCATAGGCCATTGAGGCCAGTAAGTAATTTTCCACAGTGGCCAAGGCTACAAAGAAGAACATCTGAACAGCACATGCATTGTAGGAGATGACCTTGTCTCCTGTAAGGAACTCAGCCATGACCTTGGGAGTGACAGCTGAGGAGTATCCAAAGTCCACCAGAGACAGATTACTGAGAAAGAAGTACATGGGAGTGTGGAGACAAGACTCCAGCAGGATCAGCAGCATCATCCCCAGGTTCCCACACAGAGTGAGGAGGTAGATGAGGGTAAACAAGATAAAGAGGGGGACCTGTAGTTCCGAGGCATCGGTTAATCCTAGAAGAATGAACTTTGTAACTTCTGTACAATTCTCCATCAGTATTCTCTGGGAATCACAAGATGTCCTGTAGTAATGAGAAATAAAGGAATGGAGTGTTAAACAAAAAAGAGATTTAGAAACATATAAATACTATGTTCATTATGTAATTATAGCAATGATTCATACTTCAAAATTCTATAGATCTAAAGCATAGGTTTAACAACAATATTTAGTGCATTATCTACAGAGTTACAATCTGTTGAATCCAGGAGATCTTTATAAATAATATCCCAATATTTCCATTTTATAAATTTATAAACTAATATGTAGTATATTTAATTAATGATGTGTCCAAGATGACTAATCTGCAATTAATTTTTCTGCAAATTTAGTTTTCCCTAATCTAGTAAAACTTATGTATTTATGTTGCTCACATACTGGGAACTGTTCTAGGCAATTTGTATGTATATTTATTGATTCCCCTCAACAATATAATGCGGTTGATTAGTTATTACATTTATATAGATTATGAGGCTCACAAGATTAAGTGATTTATTTGTATATACACAAGTATTAATAGTCAAGCCTCTCTTTGGGCCCAGGAGAGTCGTTCTCAAGCTCAATGATCTAAATTGAAACTGAAGAAAATGGAACAACCAAATAGATGCAATAAAAAACGATAAAGGGCAATTCACCACAGATTTCACAGAAATTCAAACCATCATCAGAGAATACTACAAACAACTCTATGCACATAAACTAGTAAACCTAGAAGAAATGGATAAATTCCTGGACATCTGTGTCCTCCCAAGTCTAAACCAGGAGAAAGCCGAAACTATGAACAGACCAATAACAAAGTCTGAAGTCGAGGCAGCAATTAAGAGCCTACCACACAAAAAAAGCCCAGGTCCAGATGGGTTCACAGCTGAATTCTACCAGACACACAAAGAGGAGCTAGTACCACTCCTTCTGAAACTATTACAAATAATCCAAAAAGAGAGAATCCTTCCCAAATCATTTTATGAGACCAACATCATCCTGATACCAAAACCCGGCAGAGACTCAACAAGAAAAAAAAACTTCAGGCCAATATCCATGATGAACATAGATGCAAAAATCTTCAATAAAATACTGGCAAACCAACTGCAACAGCAAATCAAAAAACTTATCCATCATGATCAAGTAGGATTCATCTGGGGATGCAAGGCTGGTTCAACATATGCAAGTCTAGAAACATAATTCACCACATAAACAGAACCAAAAACAAAAACCACACGATTATCTCAATTGACGCAGAGAAGGCCTTTGACAAAATTCAACAGCACTTTATGCTAAAAACCCTCAATAAACTCGGCATTGATGGAACGTATCTCAAAGTAATAAAAGCTATTTACGACAAACCAACAGCCAATATCGTACTAAATGGACAAAAACTGGAAGCATTCCCTTTGAAATCTGGCACTAGACAAGGATGCCCTCTCTCACCACTCCTATTCAATATAGTACTGGAAGTTCTAGCCAGAGCATTCGGGCAAGAAAAAGAAATAAAGGATATTCAAATAGGAAAGGTGGAAGCCAAATTGTCTCTATTTGCAGATGACATGATAGTATATCAAAAAGACCCCATCGTCTCAGCCCAAAAACTCCTGAAACTGATAAGCAACTTCAGCAAAGTCTCAGGATATAAAATCAATGTGCAAAAATCACAAGCATTCCTATACACCAATAACAGACTTAAAGAGAGCCAATCAAGAACAAACTGCCATTCACAATTGCTACAAAAAGAATAAAATACCTTGGAATACAACTCACAAGGAACGTAAGAGACCTCTTCAAGGAGAACTACAAACCACTGCTCAACGAAATAAGAGAGCACACAAACAGATGGAGAAAAATTCCATGTTCATGGTTAGGAAGAATCAATATCGTGAAAATGGCTATACTGCCCAAAGTAATTTACAGAATCAACGCTATCCCCATCAAGCTACCATCGACTTTCTTCACAGAACTGGAAAAATCCACCATGAACTTCATATAGAACCAAAAGAGAGCCCGCATAGCCAAGTCAATTCTAAGCAAAAAGAACACAGCAGGAGGCATCACACTACTGGACTTCAAACTATACTACAAGGCTACAATAATCAAAACAGCATGGTACTGCTACCAAAACAGAGATGTAGACCAATGGAACAGAACAGAGGCATTGGAGGCAACACAACATATCCACAACCATACAATCTTTGATAAACCTGACAAAAACAAACAATGGGGAAAGGATTTCCTGTTTAATAAATGGTGTTGGGAAAATTGGCTAGCCATGTGCAGAAAGCAGAAACTGGACCCCTTCCTGACAACTTACACTAAAATTAACTCCAGATGGATTAAAGACTTAAACATAAGACATGGCACCATAAAAACCCTAGAAGAAAATCTAGGCAAAACCATTCAGGACATAGGAGTAGGCAAGGACTTCATGACCAAAACACCAAGAGCATTGGCAACGAAAGCCAAAATAAACAAATGGGACCTAATCAATCTCCACAGCTTCTGCATGTCAAAAGAAACAGTCATTAGAGTGAATTGGCAACCAAGAGAATGGGAAAAAAATTTTGCAGTTTACCCATCTGACAAAGGGCTGATATCCAGAATTTACAAAGAACTCAAACAGATTTACAGGAAAAAAACAAACAAGCCCATTCAAAAAAAGGATATGAGTAGACACTTTACAAAAGAAGACATACATGAGGCCAAAAAACATATGAAAAAATGCTCACCATCACTGGTCATTAGAGAGATGCAAATCAAAACCACATTGAGATACCATCTCACGCCAGTTAGAATGGTGATCATTAAAAAATCTGGAGACAACTGATGCTGGAGAGGATGTGGAGAAATAGGAACACTTTTATACTGTTGGTGGGAGTGTAAATTAGTTCAACCATTGTGGAAGACAGTGTGGCAATTCCTCAAGGCCTTAGAAATAGAAATTCCATTTGACCCAGCAATCCCATTACTGGGTATATATCCAAAGGACTATAAATCGTTCTACTGTAAGGACACATGAACACGAATGTTCATTGCAGCACTGTTTACAATAGCAAAGACCTGGAACCAACCCAAATGCCCATCGATGATAGACTGGACTGGGAAAATGTGGCACATATACACCATGGAATACTATGCAGCAATCAAAAACGATGAGTTCGTGTCCTTTGTAAGGACATGGATAAAATTGGAGAACATCATTCTCAGCAAATTGACACCAGAACACAAAATGAAATACCACATATTCTCACTCATAGGTGCATGAGAAAAAATTAGAACACATGGACACAGGGAAGGGAGTACTACACATCGGGGTCTATGGGGGGGAATGGGGAGGGACAGCAGGGAGGGGAGCTGGGGAGGGATAGCCTGGGGAGAAATGCCAAATGTGGGTGAGGGGCAGGAAGGCAGCAAAACACACTGCCATGTGTGTACCTATGCAACTATTTTGCACGTTCTGCACATGTACCCCAAAACCTAAAATGCAATAAAAAAGAAAATGAAATGTGAGGTAATTTACAATTACTCATTGTCTTTGTTGGTGCAAACTTAGGCAGGTTTCACAGTGAGGTGACTGAGAGATAAATGCACATTAAGGGTCTCAGGACAACTGGAGAAGTAGATAAATGTACAACCAGCAAAGGCAATTCTGAGGGGAAGGCAGCATCAGGTACAGAGCTTGCGACTGGGAAGTGGTGCATATAAGTCCTACCATTTACTACCTAGGCGGTATTGATCCCAAACTAACTTCCCCAAACCTGATTAATTTCATCTACATAATAAAAATATTAATGAGACCTACCTCGAGGCATTATTTTGAAAATTCAATGAAACAATACACTTTGAAACAATGAACAAAATGTTAAACATTCCACACATTCTGATGAGAGCTAGCTCTAATATTATTAGGAAGGAATGATGATCTCTGTTAGTTTCATAAGGGAGGATGGCAGGGCTTTGTGTGTGGGTAAATTTTGAAGTCTTATAGCCCCCTGTTTAATTTGTCTTTCCTCACATACTAGGGCTACTGAGATTTTCTGTGTCTTCCAATAATTCTCATCCTGACTTAATTGACTTCTCCAGTGATTCCATGTGAACCATTCTTTTGTATAATTTCTTCCTTAAAACTTACATTTTAGCTTGGTTTCGCAGCATCTCCTTTTCTTTTTCTTTTCTTTCTTTCTTTTTTTTTTTAATGGTCTCTGTCATCCAGGCTGGAGTGCAGTGGCGTGATCTCAGCTCATTGCAATCTCTGATTCCTGGGTTCAAGCAATTCTCCTGCCTCCGCCTCCAAAGTAGCTGGGACTACAGGCATGTGCCACCATGCCGGCTAATTGTTTGTATGTTTAGTAGAGATGGAGTTTCACTATGTTACCCAGGATGGTCTCAATTTCCTGACCTCGTGATTTGCCCGCCTCAGCCTCCCAAAGTGCTAGGATTATAGGTGTGAATCTCCTTTTCTTAAACTCATTCTTTTCTTTTCTTTTTGTTATCTCTTAGTTGAATATAGACTCTTATAGTTGAAAATGCGTCATTTGAGGGTTTCCTTTAGTCTGCAGATCTGTTTTGGTGGTAAGTTGTAGGTTGTAAAATTATTATTTAGATCAGTTCTTGCATATGAATAGTGTTTTGAATTAGAAAGGGCATTTATCCTCTAACTACTATTCATCTGCTAACTACTATTGCCTACTGTCGTTCCACACTGCATAAGTTTAGCCCATAAAAGCATTATTTTTGCCAAACTAAACTCACATAACCATTTTTCGAATATACTACATCCTACAACTGATGTTGAGAAATTTTTATATAAATGTTTATATTTGTGTGTGTATGATAAGTATTGTTATTACTATTTTACCATTACAAGAATTGGATATTTGAAAAGTTATGTGATATTCTACAATTATACAACTGGTGTGGAGAATATTCAAGATTCACAATTGAAACTGAGTTCCAACCTAATCAAAATCTGTGCTATTGGCTACTTCACAATGAGCATAGATGTGCTAGTCATAGGATGAGATTATGAGGGGAAGGTTACAATTCTGTTTGCATCTTGCTAATTTATTTAGTTCTTTTTGTAGTTTAGAGAGCTGTCAATTCACACTTCTGTTATTTTTATTTGTTTCACTTCCAGTAGAAGTCTGATAGTGAATAAGATGAAATTAGCACCTACTTAATCAGAGCATCATCTATTTTACTTTTTCCATCTTCTTTAGGGAAGCAGTATGATATTTTACAAGTGTCACTGCATACACTACCAATGGAAGTTTTGACATTTCTGTACTCCAGCCTCAGCATATGTTTTTAGGAAAAAATATTTAAAGCATCTACTTCTGTTCTGAAATAATATAGTATCTATAGCTGTCCCACTGCTTTTGCACAAATTCCCTATTTTACCAAATGTATATATGGAACACAGAAGCTTACCTTGCATCTGGAAAAGAAGAGATAGTCAATCTTGAGTATAAGTCTAAAATTGGAAATTCATTCGTGAATAATGCATAAATACCATTAGAAAAAGCTCTGTCTCAGGTAGTAGTCAAAAGGTTCCAAGTTCTCTGAGGCAAGGAAAGACAGAAGAAAAAAAACACTAGCATGAATATACTGAATTAAATATAACGGCTTTTGCTAGGAATGATCTCTAACACATAAAGCGCTCACTATGTGCAGATTCACTTTTATGTATTTTTCATATATTAGCTCATGTAGCATAGAAAAAAACAGAAAGTAAAGGTGCATTGTAGGTGAAAAATAGGATTCCACATAAGTTTTAATTTTGCTGTGTGTATATGTGTGTGTGTACACATGCATGTGGTCACATATTATGGGTCATGATGTAAATCGTGTGGATTCCTTATTTTAAAAAGTCTAAAACCATTCATCAAGAGCCTCTGAATAGCTTGTGCAAAGTTAGGCGTGAGACTGTTCTTCAGTAACACAGGACCATGTATTTTATAACGTGCTCACTGATCATTCACTGACTTATTCATTTATTCATTCATTCATTTATATGCATTCACTCATTGACTCAACAAATATTTAGAGTGCTCATCACTTTCTAAGTGCTCTTGTAAGCACACAGATTTTTGTGTGTATAAGGTTTTTGTTTTGTTTTGTTTTGTTTTTTACTTTTAAGTTCAGGGATACGTGTGCAGGCTTGTTACATAGGTAAACTTGCATCATGGGGGTTTGTTGTACAGATTATTTCATCACCCAGGTATTAAACGTGGACCCATTAGTTATTTTTTCTGATCTTCCTCCTCCTACCCTCCACCCTTCAGTAAGCCCAATGTCTGTTGCCCTCTAAGCATATGAATTTTAAATGATAAGAATAATACCATCTTCCATTATTCAAATAAAACCACCAGTTTCCTAATTAATGGAGATTATTGTAATACCTGGACTGTGGCTAAACAGCATGATAGCATGAAAATATTAAAAGCTGTGATACTAGACTCTGAATACTCAATGGGAACATTTTTGTCCTTGAACTTTTATATAACACATATTCTATTACTACAACCTAAAAAGATCATAGAACTGAGCTAGAAACTTACCTTGCTCTTCAAGAAAGATGACACACTTTCAGTTGACATCTTCAAATTGCAAGTCCTACTCAAGGAAGAAAGAAAACTCTTATTTATGAAGTTATTCTTTACTGTCTAGTCACAAATATCGAATTTCTCTAGATCAAGGGAGATATAAGGAAAAGTAATGATTAGATGGGATTAAAAAACATTCTCCAACTTGTAACACAGGGCTGCTGCTGTGAGGAAAAACAGAAGTCTCTAAATGGACTCTGTAAAGTGCTAAAGAGCTCTAAGCAAAGATCATCATACCTACAATGAACATCATTTTTAGCTGGGTGTTTTATCTCTGCCCATTGTTGCAGGCTCAGAGTCATATACCAGTATGAAATAAGGCCACTTAGTACAATGGACAACCTTTTACACTGAGATTAATAAATGATACCAAAAGGCAGATGCACAGGGTGGAACCTCTAATATAATGTTAAATAGAGTCATGTTGGGATGCTGGAGACCAATGACTGGAAACCAAAAATAATTGAAGGATTTGAACGTACATAAAGATCTCAGCGGACAAGTTACCCATGAGAATAGCCAGAGTCTCTCACTCCAATCATCTAGAGAAGCAACAATTTAACTGCCTATGGAAACCTGTTTCAGTGTTCTTAGGAAGAACACTAGTATATTTACTTTACTTGGGGCTATTTCTTGTTGGTAGTGCAGAACATCTTAGGAAAAGATTCAGCATTAACTTTCCTGGCAGAATTCAGACAGAATCATGAGCAGCATAATGGAAACTAGGCTAAAATGTTAGACAAGTTGTGTTGCCCGTGGCAGCATGACTTCCCAAAATTCATATTGAGATTATAGGTTATATAAACACATATGCACTTCAGTTCTCTCATTAATAAAATAGAGATGAGCACTTTTTTTCTAAGCTAGTAGAATAGATGGCTTTGCCCACATCCTTACCCACTTGGAAATAGCAAGTCGTGTGTAGAGATTCACACTGTGAACTTGTATCCAGGAAGAAACATGATTGTTCAACACAAAGTGAAAGAAAACTTTGGATGCTGCTAAAATCAAGACGGACAGCAGCCCACATGGAAAACTGCGAATCAATCCTTCCATATGTGAGGGGGGGAGTACCCCACAATACACATTCCCACCAGGAAGGTAGGCAATCTAGGCCATAGGGAAATTTTTGAGCTACCCAAAACCTGGATCAGTCTTGGGGAACAGTAAAGAGACTGTGAAGAGCACTGGGAAGTACCCCATATGCACAACCAGGCTTAAGGACCAGTGGAAGGAGGTCACTCCTGATGCTAACTCACAGTGGGTTGCACAGGAACCTGCCAGCCAGTGCTGGTGGCAGTCACTGGTTTGTAGAGTATTTAACCAGGGATTTGCGATCTTAATTTGATTGGAAGAGAAACCCACATGGCCAGAATGGAGAGGCAAGAACAGCATGGGCTTCAGCTGTGGGCAATGAAATTGGGCATTCCCCTTACAGGACGAGGCCAGAAGGGTTTGAGTCTGAGAGGAGTGGTTTTGACCAGGGAGCTAGTTTTGCAGTCTGGAAGATTTTCACAGTCTAAAGGCAAACTGCATTTTGATTGGCTAATTGTCCCAATTCACTACTGGTGTCCAGCTGTGGGAGGGACACCTGCTGGGTTGTGTGAGAGCAAATTGGGTCTTGCTACCCCTTGATAGGCTGTGGAAACTAAAATGCAGTATTTGCTTCATGGGGTCATTGGGACAGCAGCAGTTCCTCTGCTCCTTGAAGAAGTGTTTCTTCAGAGGCCTGAGGACTGCTCTCTGAATCCTGTAAGGGCCAGAATTGTACATGCCATTGTGGGGTTCAAGTGCAAGCTTGCATATCTCAGCACTGCCCAGCTTTGCCCCTTGCCTTGGACACAAGAAAATTAGACAAAGTCTACACCACTGAAGACACCCAGAAACAAAGCCAAATAACCCTACTCCGCATACATCATTGCCACATTATCAAGAAAAATAAGTCATACCCCAATAAAAGTAAATTCAATAATAGAAGTGACTAAATTCCCCAGATGCAAAGAAATCAGGACAATAATATTGGTAGAATAAAAAAACAAAGTGCTATGACACCTCCAAAGGAGCACAGTAATTCTGTAACAGTGGATTTGGACCAATAAGAAATCTTCAAGATGTCAGATAAAGAACTCAAAATAGAGTTTAAAGAAGTTCTATAAGATACAAGAGAAATCTGAACACCAATGCAAAGACATCAGAAAATCAATTCAAGATATGAGCTAGAAGTTCACCAAAGAGGTAGAGATCTTAAACAGATGACCAAACAATTTCTGGTAATGAAAATTTCGTTGAAAGAATTATAAGAACAGTTGAAAGCCTTAACAATAGTCTAGAATGAGCAGAGAAGATAATCTCAAATTTTGAAGACAGGTCTTCTGATTTAATTCAATCAGATAAAAATAAAGAAAGAATAATAAAAAAGAATAAACAACGCCTTTGAGAAGTAAAAGACTATGTAAGGCAACCAAACATGTGAATTATAATTACTTATAAGAATTATAAAGGAGAAGAAAAACCAGAAGTTCAAAAACCTATTTAAGGAAATAATTGACAAAAAGCTTGTCTAGTTTGGCAAGAGATTTACAAATCCAGATACAAGAAGACCAAGAAACTACTGGAAACTACATTGCGTAAAGGACCTCACCATGACATGGTCATCAGATTGTCTAAAGTCAGTATGAAAAAAAATTCTAAAATCAGCAAGAGAAAAGTGTGTAGTCATCTATAATAAAGAAAGCCCCATAGACTAATAGTGGACTTTTAAGCAGAAACCTTACAAGTCAGAAAAAATAGAGATTCTATTTTTAAAGTACTTAAAGGAAAAAAAATCCTGTCCACCACAAATTTTGTAACTTATTTACAATAAGCTTCAGAAATGAAAGAGAAGTAAAGTTCTTCTCAGACAACCAAATGCTGAGGGAATTCATTACCATTAGACTGGCCCTATAAGAAATGCTCTACGAGTTCTAAATGTGGATAGAAAATGCCAATATTCACCATCATAAAAACACAACATTACAAAAAGTAAAAGAAAGAAATCTAATGACTACCTGATAGAACTCCACTGAACCACAAAGACAAAGGAAAAAAGAAACAAATAATCTACAAAACAGCTAGATTACAATTAACATTATGTCAGAAATGGAAGCTCATATGTTAATATTAACCTTAAAGATAAATGAATTAAAATCACTTAAAAGATATATGTTGATGACATGGATAAAAACACAAATCAACAATTATGCTACTTAAAAGAAACTGAACTTACTGGCTGATAAACTGTTACAGACTGAAGGTAAACAGGTGGAAAAGATATTCCATACAAATGAAAACCAAAAATGAGTAGTAGTAGTTACACTTATATCAGGTAAAGCAGACTTAAAATAAACAATGCTAAAAATATAAATAAGGTCATTATATAATGATAAAGGGATCAAATCAACAAGAACATATAAAAATACTAAATATATGTGCACCCAACAATGGAGCAGCACTCAGAATCATAAAAAAATCACTAGACTTAAAGAAAGAAACATGCAGCAATTCAATAATAATGAGGGCTGTAACACCCCAATGACAGCACTAGACAGATGATCAGAACAGAAAATTAACGAAGAAACATTGGATTTAAATTTTTGACCAAATGGGCACCAAAAACACTTACAGATCAGTCTAACAAAAGCAAAATATAGACTTTTCATGAGTCCATGGTACATTCTCCAAGATATGTCACAAAACAAGTCTCAATATATTTTTAAAGTTGAAATTATACCAAATATCTTCTCAGAGCATAGTAAAATAAAGGTAGAAATCAATACCAAGAGGAACTCTGGAAACTATACAAATATATTGAAATAAAACAATATACTCCTAAACAATATTTAGGTTATTGACTAAATTAAGTCATAAATTAAAAATGTTTGAAATTAATAAAAATGGAAACAAAATATACCAAAGCATGTTGAATACAGCAAAAGCAGTGCCAAGAGAGAAGTTTATAGCATTAAATGCCTACATCAAAGAATAGAAAGATCACAAATTAACAACATAACATTGTACTTCAATGGACTAGTAAAACAAGAACAAATGAAACCCAAAGCTTCCAGAAGAAAACAAATAACAGAGATCAGTTAGAACTAAATGAAATTGGAACCAAAATAAATAAACAAAATAGACAAATCACTAGCTAAACTACCTAAGAAAAAGAAGAGAAGATATCCAAATAAACATAATCCAAAATAAAAAAGAGTACATTACAGCTAATATCACAGAAATACAAAAGATCATCAGAAGCTACCATGAACAACTATGCACTCACAAACTAAAAAACCTAGAGAAAATGAATAAATTCCAGGAAGCAACCTCCCAAGATTGAACGGGAAATAAAAATCTTGAACAGAAAATAATGAATGATTAAATTAGTAATAAAATAAACCTCCCAGTAACACCTACAAAACAGCTCACGACCAGATAAATTCACAGCCGAAATCTACCAAATGTAAAAAGAAATAATAGCAATCTTTTGAAACTCTTCCAGAAAATTAGAGAGGAGAGAATCTTCCCTAACTCATTCTATAAAGCCAGTATTAGTCTGATATAAAAGCAAGGCAAGGACATAAAAATAAAAACTGCAGACCAATCCCTGATGAATATAGATGCAAAAATCCTCAAAAATATACATAGTTTGCTAGCATTTTATTAAGTATTTTGTTTGTGGGGATTTTGCACATATATAGAGGTATAAGTATAACAGCATATCAAAAAGATAATATACCACAATCAAGTAGGTTTTATTCAGGGATGCAAGGATGATTTAACATACAGAAATCAATAGATGTGATTAATTACATAAGCAGAATTTAAAAACAAAAACTATATGATATGATCATCTAAATAAATGCAGAAAAGACATTTGATAAAATTCAGTATCCTTTCATGATAAAAACTTTCAAAAACTTAGGCACAGAAGGAACACAGCTCAAATAATAAAAGCTATACATGACAACCACATAGCCAACAGCATACTGAATGGAGAGAAGTTGAAATCATTCCTCCTAAGAATTGGAACAAGACAAGGATGACCATTGTCATCACTCCAATTCAACATAATCTTGGAAATCATAAAGCAATCAAGCAAGAATAAATATTTTAAATATTATTGCATTTGAACTAGAAAAGAGAAAGTCAGATTACCTGTTTGCTGATGGTATTATTTATATTTAAAAAAAAACCCATAGACTTCTCCAAATAATTCTTAGATCTGATAAATAAATTAAGTAAAGTTTATGGTTATATTATCAACATATAAATTTCAGTACCATTTCAATATGAGCAGCATTTGTGTATAAATGCTACTGAATTTTATACGTTGATTTTATAACCTCAGACTTTCCTTAATTCATTCATAAGCTTGATTCTTAGCTTGATTTGAGCTGAGAATCAAATCAAGACATCAATCAATTTACAGTCTCTGCAAAAAATATCTGGAAATATATTTAACCAAAGAGGTAAAAGACCTCTACAATGTAAATTACAAAACATTGATGAAAGAAATTATAGATGACACAAACAAATGGAAAATCATCCCATGCTCCTGAATTGGAAGAATCAATATAATAAAAATGACCATACTGTCCAAAGGAATCTACAAATTCAATGCATTTTCTACCAAAATACAAATGTCTTTTATCACAGAATTGGAAAAATACAGTCATAAGAGTCCTATGGAATCAAAAAAGGAGCTCAAATAGCCAAAATAATGCTAAGCTAAAACAACAAAGCTGGTGTCATCACACTATCTGGCTTCAAA